CTTTCCCCTGCTCCACTGGCACCCCTTCTCATGGAAAAAATAGTCCACAGGCATTCTGCAACGTGAGTCCTTCCCACAGGATGCAATTGTTACCCATCAGATTGCGGGAAAAAACCCGTGCTGGAGCGGAGTCACTGCTTCTTAGGACGCAGCCACCTGCTCTGGTGTGGGGTTCTCCACGGGCTTCAGATGCATCTCAGCTTGTCGTCAGTCTCCATTAGCATGGGGGATCCTTCCCATGGAGACAAATCTCTACACACTCCTGGAAGTATCTCTGCTCCAGCTTGGGCTTCTCCACAGGCTGCGAGAGGGTCTCCGCTCTACCATTTCTCTCGTGAGCTGCAGGGGGGCTGCCTGCTGTCTCACCACGGGCTGCAGGGGAATCACAGCTCTGGCACACCTCCTCGTGCTCCATCTTCACTGACTTTGGTGTCTGTGTAGTCATTTTCTCTCAGATCTCAGTCCTCTGCTGCAGCTGTGCCGGGCCCAACTGGCCCAGTGAACCTCAACAGTCCCAGCAGGATGAGCTCTGCCCAGTGGATGCCCTGGGAGCGGGACGCTTCAGACCTCTCCAAGCTGCCCTGCTGCGGCCATCTCCAGTCGAGTGTCGGCAGCCCAACATGGGCAGTTGCCCACCTGGGAGGCTGGGAGGCCAGCCCCCTGCCTCCCCCCTCTCTTCACTGTAAGTCCAGCCCAGTTCGCATTGCTTTGTCCCCTTCTTAAACACAGCATTCACAGAGGCACTGATTGGTTCGACCCTGGCCAGAGAGGAGGGTGGTCTGACCTGGTGAAAGACCATCTGACCGGTTTTGGAGTTGGAGAAGCGTTCTTGTAGCTCCTTACAGGGTCTATCTCTGCAGCCCCTCCTCTGCTACCAAAACCCCATCACAAAAACCCAGCACAGTGCCTTAAAATCACGCATTTCATAATTGAAGTGATTTTTATTTTAAAGGATTCTGCAGCAAGTTCTGTGCAGGTGGATAAAGAGGGAGACAGCAAGACTTTGGCTTTTTATTTTCTATATCTGGAAAGATGCCTCTGGTGTGGAAGGTAGCTTGTGGTCTGCACAGAGCATTCTGATGCTATCCAGCTGTGGATTGGTATACTGGAAATACTTCATAGAGAGTCCTTTATAACTTTACATAAGTAAATAAAAAAAAAAAACAAACCAAACACCAAAAACAAACAAAAAAAAACACCCAACCAAAAACCTAGAACTGATTGTTAATGTTATATGTCTGTGACTGGTTCATTTTACATTTATAAGCATAAGTGCTCTCTGCCAAAGCCTGTTGGTGTGCCGGCACTATAGATGTGGTTTTTGTTCACAGATATGTGCACTTTTGTGTAGTCAGTGGAAGGTGCGGCAGTGAATGCTTAAGTTTGCTCAGAATGGCTGTTAGACGTGAGCGTAGCTTTTAAATTCGTACTGTGTACTTGCAGCTAGTTTCCAGGCAAATCACCATGTAAACCATTCTGTGCTGGTTTTTACTTAAGTCTCATACATTGATTTGTCAAGACAACTAAGATATTTCCAGATTTATCACATGACTGCCAGTTTGGATTCAAGCATTCCATGTCATCTGCAAACCTTTCTAATGTTGGCTGGATAAAAGAAAACAGGGTATCACTGTGATGAGTGTTGGTAGCATATTGAGCAGATAGAAGGCAGCTTGAAGTTTTAAGATGAGCTTGTAGGAGAGAAGACAAGAGAACACTTGTGCAGTCTTAGTAAATTAAGTAGATGAGACAACCGTGGAAATGCAAATACAATGTGTTTGCTGGAGGTGACACCACTACGTCACTTCAGTTGGTCAGCAATGTTAGTTCTTACAAGAACTAATGTTACTATTTTCACATGTATAGAAGTTACTTTTGAAAAGCCGAAGCAAAGTTTTTGTGATGTAAAACCAGCACATTAGCTGTTAGGGATGTATTTCTTAAACTTTCCTTTGAGAAATTGATCATCTAGATTTAGAAATGCTACCTGAAGAAGCCACGTTTTCCAATTTATTTATGCTTTTCTTAACACAAATGTATTTTGCTATGCTTAATATACATTTAAGCCAGAAACACTTCTTCTATATTTGCAACAAAAATATAAATGTTCTTAGTTTATATGGGACATGTCCATCAGTATATCTTGGACTTGGGAGTAATTGCACAACCTTCAGGCTTCAGAAGTTAAATTCAGGACCTCTCTGGTCTTGCAGGTCACATACTAAAATGTTCATAAGAGCAAGAGCATCAGGGAAGACTCTTTGAGCCATCCCCTTTATTATAAGATGGGGCCGAGCTGAGAGTATACTTTGTGTCACAGTGATATTTGATGCCAGCTGTATTAACCTATGCACATTCACTTCTTCCAACAGCTGGGAATTTGACTATCCAGAGGTTCCTGTACAAGGACAGACCTGCTACGACATGTTTCCTGAGTATGATAATTAAATTTGAAACAGTAGGAGCCATTCTGCTGCTAGACAATCAAGCAGCCTTTTTTAGATAAAGAAAGGACAGAGCATATAACTTAACATCAGTCTTAAATTTTATAGCATTAAGTTGCCTTTGAGTTAATAACTTTACAGAGCTATCACAGAATCCACAGCATGGTTGAGATTGGAAGAAACAGAATCGCATATTCACGAAATGGTTGAGGTTGGAGGGGCCTCTGAAGATGATCTTGTCTAAGCCCTGCTTAAAGCAGAGTCAATTAGAGCAAGTTGCTCAAGATCTTGTGACTTTTTACAGTTGGAATTGGATATCTCCAGTGATGGAAACTGCATAATGTGTCTAGACAACCTGTTCCAGTGTTCAATTACCTGTACAGTAAAAACTTTTTCATATATTTAAGTGGAATTTCCTGTATCTCAATTTGTGTCCATTGCCTCTTGTCCTTTCACAGGGCACTACTGAGAGAAGTCTCATTCCATTGTCCTTACTTCCTCCCTTTTTTTGTTTTGTTTTTTTTGTTGTTGTTGTTTTTTTATACAGACTGATAAAATTCCCCAGCACCCCTTGAGTCTTCTCTTCTTGAGGCTAAACAATCCCAACTTTCTCAGCCTCTCGTATAACAGATTCTCTAATCCCTTAATCATCTTCCTAGCCCTTTGCTGGACTCTTTCCAGTATGTCTGTTATCTCTTGTCCTGAGAAGCCCAGCAGTATGTTTGCCATCCGTTTGTGTCCATGTTTGATGATATGGTAAGTTGGAGGATCTGGAAATCAGCACTGGCTTCATATCCTGTGTTTCTTCTGCTGAAGAGCAGGTGCATGATATCCTAATACCAAGTTTCAACTAAGGCAGTTGTTGAAGACTTAACCACTAAAGTAGCCCTTTAACAGGAAGACTGAAGTTCAGCTACCTCTTAGTTAAAATGCACACCGACTGTCGAAGTCCAGGGTCTGAAGCATTGGTGTTTTCATGGAATGGGGAAAGGAGAGAAAATACTGACATAACCACAGATGAGTAGAGAAATTAATTTTGGGGTGAAGAGCAAGCTTTTGGAGGGAAACTTTAGCTGGCTTCAGGGATGAAATTTATAGGGTTGAAGGAGAAACCTTAAGCTGCATGAGGGTGTTTTTGAATTTATTAGATTTCTGATAAGACCTGGGTCTAGGTTTTAGGGTGGCTGAGGCATTCGTTTGCCATAAAGTTGTGCATTACACTAAATATGACTTTTACACTGATCAAAGTAGAGAGTAATTGTTTTAAAATGCCCTGTGTCTGTCGTCTTTAGAAGGCCTGACATAAGGCTTACCATTTGCTGCTTCCAGAAGTTGATAGCTCAATCAATATCCACAAAACCGAAATATTTTATAAGAATATGGGTGTGGAAACATGTTGGCGACTCTGTGGAGTCATCAGTTGTATTAGTGAATTTAAGTGGGGAAAGAAAGGGTTGAGAAGGAAGGAAGGTGCACTCTAAGATTATGCTTAGAAGGCCAATGTGCACCAGGACTATAACCACCTAGAAGTTTTAATGCGTTTTTGGTACAAACAATATGGTCTTACGAAAGTCCTGCACAAGAACCTCAAGCAGAAATATGTGTAGCTATTTAAAAAATGTGAATTATTCACTCATTGTAAAACCAGGACAATAAGCGAGGGCCATAGCAGGTACTTTATTCTCTTTATAGGTTGTTTTGAAGTATGCCTTTTTTTCTCCTCTGAGTGTTCTGGAATGAAAACTGTACTGATGATTGTGGTCCTCTTCACTAGCTCCTTACTAACAGGATAGTTTAAGAATTACATGGTTTGATACCGGTGTTAGCTGCATATATATTGACTCAGTCTAACCAAACACCTGTCAATTAAAGACTGTTATATGCTAGCATCTTACAATAGACTTGATTAGTCTTCAGTATGTCACATTTTCTTGGTAAAAAGTCAATCACTCCAATCATATTTTTTTCTGTTTTCTAATTTGCAGGCTGTTCTGGAGACTATTAGGAATTTGATGAACACAGATTGTGTAGTTCCTGACTGGCTGCATGACATCATTCTCGGCTATGGAGACCCAAGTAGTGCACACTATTCAAAAATGCCAAATCAGATTGCAACTCTGGATTTTAATGACACTTTCCTGTCCATTGATCACTTAAAAGCTAGCTTTCCTGGATACGATATTAAAGTGACCATTGATGATCCAGTTCTGCAGATACCACCCTTCAGGTGATCTCAGCATTTCAAGTACTCCTGGTCTGGTATTCTTGCTGAAGTGCATTGTCAGGTGGAGTTGAGTTCAGTGGTTGAAGGGAGGTGCTCTTTCTTTTAAGAAAAGATATTAATATGTTAATACTAAGATTTAGATAGTTGTACAACAGAGTTAACTATTCTGCAGTTAGACTCGTTTTCTGTACAAAAATGCATCAGAACATTGCTTGTAGATCAGCCTATTGAATATATGGGAAAAGCAACAGTATGAGATGGAATCAAGACACGTAGTATTCACTGCTGCATTATGGTGTCTAGTCTCCTCAAGTTCAGCCTGAAGATTTTTAATGACATAGTTTCCTTTTGTGTCTCATTAAAGCAAGCTAAGAACAGCAATTTCAACATCAGTTAAAATTTAAGTTTTCGGAAACACCAACCAAAATAAAGGGTAGATTTAGATTAGATATAAGGAAGAAATTTTTCACTCAGAGGGCGGTGAGGCACTGAAACAGGTTGCCCAGAGAAGTTGTAGATGCTCCATTGCTGGAGGTGTTCAGGGCCAGGTTGGATGAGGCTTTGGGCAACCTGGTGTAGTGGAGGGTTTCCCTGCCCATGGCAGGCGGATTGTAACTAGATGATCTTTGAGGTCCCTTCTAACCCTAACCATTCTATGATTTAAGTCTGAAATCCCATTTTGCTTATTTTATTTTAGCAATGGTTTCTGAAATAGAATGCCTACCTTTGTGACTGCTAAATGAGATTTACATGTTTTGTTTCAGTGGTGCTGTTGTGCAGCAGTTTTAGGCTTGACTGTTCTGTCCCTCCTGGTAGACCTCCTTGGACTTTGGCAACTGCATTTCACAGTTCATAGTGTTGGAGAATATTTTCTTCAGCTGGACTGAAGAAACTATATCTTTTTTCCCATATAAGTTAATGATAATTGAAATATTTTCTTTTGAAGGAATAGATTTGACTGAGGAGGGAAAAGATGGGTTTAGCTGCACAGCAGTCAGCTCTTACCGTGGCTAAACTGAATCTTGAAAAGCAGGGAGGTGATCTTCCATGCTTTTTTTTTTTTTTTAAGCACTGCATGGAGAATACATGTGGAGAAGGCACTACCACTATATAATGATACAAAAATAGTCTTAAGGTATCAACACAAGATACCACACATAATTTCCCTCAATGAACTAGTGTTCATTTTCAGGTCATAGATTAAAATACAGATAGCTCTTTATGAAGAGCTTTTGCTACTGCTACATATGTCCTGTAAAGAGACTGAGAGACTAGTGCTGTTAAAGATGTCTCTGCTGTTGTCTCAAGAGAATTAGATATCCATTGAAATTCCTTTGCTGTGATTTGTTTCTGAATTAGAGAAGCTTACTAACATGATATAGACGGCTATAAAAAAATTAAAACGAGAGGATAAAAGGCTTCATGTGTTGAAGCAGTTTAGAACATTGACATATGTGTGTTTAAAAAAAAGCATGCATCAGTTCTAGAACAAAATCAAGTTATTACTGCTGAACAGACAGTGCCGGTGGCTTTCTGTTATAACTTTACTCCTGTCCCTTCAATTTTTATTTATGAACTCTTTGCCTTCAGTGTTTTTCCAGCTGACTGTCAGCACTGCTCCTGGCTTTTCAAGCTTTGTAAAGAGCACTTGTGACACACGTTTTGTCAAATATGCTTTCTTAAAATCAGCTTCATAAATTTGTCATTCCTTTTCCTTCTCCTTGTTAATACTTTGTCATCTGCAACTCTTTTTTATGTATTGTGTGAAAGTTTATCTTAATGATGACAAAAAAAATCCTTCTGTATGAACTTCTAAGATAGTCTGGTATCACAGGGAACTTGTTAGAAGTGTAGTGTTAAATTATGTGTTTCAGGATAACTTTCCCAATAAAAGGAGGTAAAGGAAAGAAAAGAAAAGAGGAGGATCGGAATGAAGAAAAACCTGAAGAAGCTAAAACACTGATTGTAGAGCCTCATGTCATTCCAAACAGGGGACCATATCCATATAATCAACCAAAACGGTAATAAATGGGGGAGAACTTACTTACAAATGGTAACACATGTATAGCAGTTCATTTTCAGAAATACTTAAAAAATAATATTGTTCATTGTAAACAAAATGTCATTTTGATTTCATTGCCAAAACAAGATGGGATTTGTGAGGCTGTTTCATTTTATATTTTAATCAAACTATTCTATTGTCCCCTCTCTGTTAAAAAATTCCCTCGAAGAGCAATGAGAAATACTGTCTTTTAGTGTTGTGTCAGGACTTTGAATATTGGGAGAATTGTACCTAAAAAATTTTATATCATTCTCAGTGAATAATAACTAAAGACAGACAGTTTTTTAGATGGGATGATTTTGTTACATGGGCAATGTGATTTACTGTCTTGCTGAGAAATTGCAAGATTGTCATATCTATAAAGCAAGTGATGACACTAAACTAGGAGGAGTGGCTGACACACCTGAGGGCTGTGCTGCCATTCAGAGAGACCCGGACAGGCTGGAGAGTTGGGCGGGGAGAAATTTAATGAAATACAACAAGGGCAAGGGTAGAGTCTTGCATTTGGGTAAGAACAACCCCATGTACCAGTACAAGTTGGGGACTGAACTGTCGGGGAGCAGCACAGGGGAAAGGGACCTGGGGGTCCTGGTGGACAGCAGGATGACCATGAGCCAGCAATGTGGTCTTGTGGTCAAGAAGGCCAATGGCATCCTGGGGTGTATTAGAAAGGGTGTGGTTAGTTGGTCGAGAGAGATTCTCCTCCCCCTCTACTCTGCCCTGGTGAGACCGCATCTGGAATATTGTGTCCAGTTCTGGGCCCCTCTGTTCAAGAAGGACAAGGAACTGCTTGAGAGAGTCCAGCGCAGGGCCACAGAGATGATTAAGGGAGTGGAGCATCTCCCTGATGAGGAAAGGCCGAGGGAGCTGGGTCTCTTTAGCTTGGAGAAGAGGAGACTGAGGGGGGACCTCATTAATGTTTATAAATATGTAAA